AATCCGCCGGAAGCTCGTCACCTTCTGATCCTTCATGTAGTCCAGTACTTCTTCATCATCGACCTTCATCATCTGCCTGCAGTTAATTACGCAACGGACGCTGTTTAGGCCCGTGTGCTTAGTAACCTTTACTGCGGTACCGTCGTTTAGTTGGGTCATGTTTAGAAGTCGATTGAGTTGCCACTTACTTCTGACTTTCAGGGCATAGGCTTGTCCTTGAGCTTCCGGAAACGCACCTTCAATTTTTCCGTTTATCCATTTCTCTACCGATGAACGCAGCATGAAAGGATGTTCCGGTAATTTACCGGTAACAGGCTGTAACTTCAAAACAACAATCTCACCGTGTTCATCATGGGGGTCCATGTAATTGGGTAACGTTGCTCCAGCATGAGATCCATCGATGTAGCTTGCTGATCCTCCCCCGGTGTCTCCAGGGAGGTGAGGAAAATCCCTATCCAGCTCCATGGCTGGAGGGGAGAGAAAAAACTATCCCTGTGACGATCACTCTTCGGTTGATTAGCACCGCACCACACAGGAAAGAATAACACGCAGTGCGACACTACGCACGGCGACGGTTATCGAATCACCACCTCAAATATCTTCGCCTTTCGATAGGCAGTCCGTAATTCACTTATGTCGATCGCAGACTTGAAAGCTTTTTCACCACGATCGTATGATCGTCAGCAGCGATGGCTGACACGAAGATAGCGTCTCTGTGCTGTTGATGGCACTCATTAAATTATGGTTTTTCCACTGACCGCGTTGCCCTCAGGCCGAAATCCACTGTAGAACGCTTCCCAGGTTGACCGAGAAGCGGACTCGATGTGTTTCACAGCTAATCACTACGAAAAACACTCGCGACGGCGCGATAAATGGAATACGTAAGAGACAGCGTCTGGATGTGACGAATCCGAGCTGTCGAGTGACAATGTTATATTTTTTTAACTTTCAAATAGGTTAGTAGGTATCTAATTATGTTCTGATTTGTCTAGGAATGTCGAGCTTTTATCAATGGAATGCAGGACAAGTTCCCTCTGTTTGCGGCGTATTCGGTTCCTGTCGAAGATGCTCAAATCGGATTGTATCAATTCATGAAACCGGAAGATTCGAACGGTCTATGGTTGGATGTTAACTTTCAACCAGCAACCATAAGGTTTAGCGCCCGCGTCACCCTTATTCGCGAGAAAGACTCTTTGGAGATGACGGTTTATCTGGAGATTTGCCACAGGGACGTTTCCAGAATCGATCTGAAAAAAGAGTGAGTACCTATAACTATTGTTGAAAAAAAAAAGTTTAGTCTAATGAGGCAGAGATAATGAAAACGCTTGAGTTGTCGGTAATGGTTAACCCTCTCCTCATGGTAGCACAGTAGCATGGAAAAGTTCATTCAATCACGTGACTTTTCGTAAAAAAAAAACTTTTTAACATAAAGCTTTCAATTATAAAAATGCTAAAATTTGTTTAAATGGACACAATTCGATCGCAGTTTTCACTTCCTCGACATGAACGAGATTCGCCGGATCGAGAAACAAAATGATTATTTAAATCCTTAATTATTTTCGTTGCAGACGCAATTCTTGTCTGCTTTCGATCGAGTACACAAAAATCACCGTCGAACCGGAGGTGTTAACTGTAGACCAGAAAGGATGCCTTACCTTCACGATTCTGCCGTCATTCGACTGCACTTATCTCACGGACGACGTTCTACCGGAAGTTCGGACGAATGCCGACCGTTTAGAAGATTCGGAGCAACCCTGCACAACCAATCTCGATGGATTATTGAATGTGTCCCTATTGGATTCGATTGTTTCGGGACCTGCCAACAGCCTGAACGCTCATAACATGGAGGATCAATCTCCTCGATTACGTGATAATCGAGATGCAATCGAAAAGCACCGCAATATCCGATGTCAGATGTTGGACAACACCAGCTCGATTGGAAGCAACAAGGAAAATGTAAAACCCCCGTCAATTTCAGATGTTAGGGTTGAGGTGCAGGATGTTCAGCGTTTGCGAGTGTTTGAAACGCTCCAGCAAGACTGTCAACGTCAGCAGACAAGGCTGAGTCGTAGCTCGAGACGAAATTCTCCGGACAAATGCAATCAGAAGAACGAGCCGGTTAATCCTCGTTTGAATGACGGCAAGAAACGAAAACTGTTCGCTAAGCAAGCGGAACCAGATAACATGAACGTTAGCAATGATTCGCAGATTCAACGCAGCAAATATGTCGACAGGAAGTTGGTGAATACCGTGAAACCCATCCAGACGTTGGACGTGAAACCTTTGAAATTGATCCAAAATATTGGCGAAGAAAGAATTGATCTTTTAAGTGAACCATCCACATCGGAAATGATGTCCAACGACGAGTTTGATCGATCCCTTCAGGCGTTCATCGACCATAACGGCATATTTGGAATCGCACAGCAGAAAATTTTGGACACAAAACTGGAAAAGAACATCCGAAAAATCAATCAGATGGTGGAACGTACCACAAAGAAATTCTTCAAGCGTGAACCAGCTCCGGAGAATCCTTACGATTTCGTCAATACGGATGACAATGATCAAACCGCCCGAAAAGGTGGAAAATCCGCCGCTGGCAAAGGAAAACGAAAGTCACCGAAAACAAACGATGGACATGTTTCGTCGGTGAAGAAAGCCAAAAACGTTGCAAACCAGTCTCTTCGCACTAAGAACGCTAAGCCCACCTCTTCAAAAAAAGGTAAAAAGCAAACATCTCCAAAGGCAGCAGACCCTCTAGTGCCATCTCGAGCTTCATTACCTCGCGCCAAGAAGCCTGATCGTATCATCGACTTGGCATCAGATTCGGAAGAGGAAGCTGTTGTGATTGGGAATACCTTCCAGAACCTGGACATCTCTTCGATTGTTCGAGATCCAGCCAAGCCGAAGAACCCCGTTGCCCAGCAGCTATTTGCCAAATCAACACCGGTCGGGGGAGCAAAAAGCAAGAAGCGTTCGATTGATCACATAGTAGATGCACAGCAGAAACAGGAAAAGGTGGCCAAGAAACAGCGTGTTCCTCTGTTGGAAATCAATGCTAACAATAGCACTATTGTAACGCGTCGGAATTACAAGAAGAGTTCAACTCCGAGTGCTCTACAGCAGACGGCGGCCGCTTTGATCGAGCAGGAAAAGTACAAAGGTAAATTAAATTAGGGCAGATCAATGATTCTGTCTGGATGTTTCATTCATCCCTATTCTGTATTCCGTTCGAAACGGATTTCCCATATTTCTTTTATATGAGAAATCCGTTTTGTACGGCATAGAGAATATGGGTGATTCTCTAATTCAACAGTACTATTCTGCTTATCTAAGGATCGTAAGATCCTAACCCATAAACGCATAACAGTCCCATTTAAATAGGCAATCAAGCAAAGATTGGACTGTTATGCGTTTATGGGCAGTTAAGTTAAGTTAGGAACGAATATTAGCGACTACACAATTTTATACTGAGTTTGCTGTCGGTTCAATTTGGAACATGTATCAAGATAGTGTTACCTTGCGTTATCTTGCAAGGGACAAACTTGGTAACTGACAAAAAACTTGGATGGTTAAAAAACAAATGAAACACAAAAAATACCTGAGTTGAAGCAATATCTATTAGCACTTAATTCGCTTTATATTTAGATGTGCATTGATTTTGTTTGCCTCATATTCCTTTCAGCACAATCTCTGCAAACTTCATCGTCTATTTCGGACCACAGTGTGCGTACTGAAATTTCCATGGAGTTTCCGGGCGCCCATAACCAGTTACCTATGGAACCGCCTACATTGACGGAAGCCATGATTCGCCAGTACCAAAGCTTCGATAGCGATGAACCGATTTCACAGTCCCTCGAAGTCAATCCAAGTCCTCTGCCCGTCCCGGCGGTTGAAAGTCAATCAAAAACTAACGCTGACGTGTTCGCTTCGAAGTTCAATATGAACTACGCTGCTAATCGGTACACGCTGAAAAAGTTCATTTCGAACAACGATCCAACCTATAACAGCGACGAAGAGGTTTCTCCTGCCCATTTGGCAACCAAGCTGCCAAACGATGGCAATGAGTCTGTCCTCAGTGAAAATATTCGCGTTGGCCATGATACTGCCAATCCTCCATCATTGAGAGATGATTCGATTGATTTGCAGTTGTCAGAGGGTAGCGTTGTGTTGAATGAGATGCAACCACCGTATTATCCAGCCACGCCGAAAGCTCAGCCGGTTCGTTTTGATTGCAATAACCAAAAAGAACGCAAGGATTCGGAAAAGCGTGCCAACGACATGAATTCAACGAAACATGTTTCGACCAGTGGTGCAGGGAACCAGAATAAAACTAATAGATCGATCGTACAGGCGGCTCTATTCAACAATCCTCCTGCAATGGACGCTATGATGATTGACGAATTCAGCGCCAAATTACATCAGGAGCTGAACCCATCGTTGTCCGACTTCGAGCAAAAGGTGGACAAACTGGCAGGAATGAAGGCGGCATTCGAACCTGATCTTTCCGGGCTCCACATAAAAGAGATCAATCAAAAATGCGTCGAAATCATGTCGCTGGAAGATAGATTGGATGAACTTTTTACCGAACTGGCCGAACTGTGCAACGATGCAGTAGAGAAGTATGCTTATGGGTTGATTTGTAAGGTAAATGGTAAATCTCACACGATGTTTTTCCATTGTAGGTCGGATCGGGTAACGATCAGTGCCGATAAGCTGGCAAGATATACGGAATCCAAGGCAAACTACTACAAAGAACGCGTACAAAGGGCTCGTCAGGAGATTCCAGGAATCGTGGATGAGTGTGTCAAGAGCGTTTGGAATCAGCAGGTGCGAATTCGGCTCAGTCAGGTGGAGCTCCTGATGACGAAGATGCTAATGTGAGCGGTGATATTTGAACTATTACCTAATCTTTTTGATGATAAATAATAACGTATATCAGGCGTCATTTTAGAAGTATTATGAATTAGATCGGTATTTTTATGATATGTTAGATTTATCTGATCAGGTTACGAATTGTGAGGAAATTTGATCTTGAACTGTGAAGATGAATGCAGTGCTTTAATTTTCTAAATTGCATTTCTCAGCATTTAGTAATTGTTTGCGCCTAAACGTATGCAACCATTATACACCTATTATTCAGAGACGAGATGTGAGTCGATATGACAAATAAAAATACGCAATCAACATAGCTATCGGTTCGTACGCGGAAGTGTATCGTATAAGTTAGTCTTGTAAACGTAAATAAAAGCTACTCATAACTACTGAACATAAATCGTCCTAAGTAATAACAATTATGCCGTGATTCGACACCCAAATCAAACCCATGGATTCTGAAGAGAGGCCCTTTCCGTGCAAGATAGACGGATGCAAGCTCAGTTTTGCCACCGAAGATCACCTGAACGCCCATCGGAAGAAACATGATAAGCTGCTAAACCTGGAGCTACCCAACAAATCGAATTTATTCGCCGACCAAACTCCGACCCCGACACGGCTGATTGGTAAGTGTGAAGAGGTGGGCCTCTTTGAAGACCTTCAGAATGTGAACCCCTTCGAGGAAACATTTAGACGGGCCGTCGAGGAGAAGAGTTCCGGTTCGGGTGAGAGTGCTCAGGAAAAAGCTGTTCCGGTGATCGGACCAATAGGAACCGGAGATGATACCTTGCATACGCCCCATGTTTTTCCGCTGCTCGAAAGGCGCGACAGCCGTAAGCTTTCAAAGTTGATCATTTCAAGATCCAGTTCCAGAAAAGATGATACACCGGTTTCGGTTAGTCAATCTGTATTGGCATCCGACTCCCGTACTACATCGAAGAGAAAACAGCAATTTGTCAATCCCATCAGTAAAAAACAACACGTTAACATTTTACCAAAAGTCACCCCGTCATCGCATCCAGTGATAATAATTTCCTGTGAGAGGGATGATCGACTGTCGGTGATCAAAACAACCAGTCCGTTGCATCCGGTGAAAGCCAAGCTTAAAAAGTATCTCGCCAGAAACGGGTCCCAGACAGAGCTTCAGCAACAAGCTGTGCAATTAACATCATCCAACACCACCACAAGTACCTTAAGTGCGCCGAAAAAGACAAAATCTGCTGCAGCAGTCTCGGAAGCAAGTATACCACGGTCTCACGTTTCAGAGGAAGCTACAATTCTAAAGCATGAACGGTGGAAAGCGGCAGCCAAGCGGTATCGGTATGCAACCCATTTATATCGACACAGTTTGACGAATTCGAGTTAATACATCCACTTCCTTTTATAGAACCCGTGTGAAGCAGAATCAGGATTGTGTCCACCGGAAGAACGTGGAGTTACAACAGGAAAATCTGCAGCTCAAAACCGAGCTCGCTCAGCTGAAAAGTGCTCTCTCGTTGCATAAGGACTGTTCCGTGACCAGAGCTCTGGTCGCTGGTACGAACATAAATGCGGCTGGTCCGTCCAAACTTATGTTTATCCCAGTGGATAATGGAATCCATCACCGGCCTCAACAGCAACAATCTGTTGAACCACAGGTTGTTGGTAACACTGTTGCACTCAATAGTAATCCAGTTTATATTATATTAGGTGGAATCAATCCACTGCCAGAGGCAGGCAAGAAGGAATCGAATTGATGCTCAATCCTATCGGACGTCAGGATAGAAGAGGAGATGTTCTATTTACAATATTAAAGTTGAAATTCAAAACAACTGTGTTCTTGTTTTGGATCCCCAGTTTTCGCTGTTTAAGTTTCTGTCGAGAAATTCCATTTGAGCGGAAAAGCACACAAATGGATTTCACTTCATCTAGAATGTAGAATTCGTATTAATAATAGTCACCTCCTTAACTTGATATTGAAGAGACCTTCTATGGGGTGGTGATCGATGCGAATTTGATTGATTGATTGATTTCCTTTATAAAGGAGATTTTCAGCCGTTTGCGGTATGTAAAAGTATGCTTCTAAAACTCTCAAGGAATTATCTTCGGAATTTCCCCAAAATTCCACAAAGAATTCTCTTGAAGTAGTCCAGTAAAATCCATTCAATGCTCCTCAGAATTTCCAAGAAACTCTACTTTCAGTTCTCAAAAAATAATTACAGAAATTACCTTAAGTATTCAAATTTAATTGAATTCATTTCAGAATTCCCTTTATATTCTCCGTTCTCTTGCAATTCCACTCACAAGTACCTTCGAGTTCTCCTTACACATCTAAAGCCCTACAGTAAAAGTATGGACGTCTGTCAAAAGTTGTTCCAATCGAACCGTCAAAATGCACCGCTTTGCTCGATTGGAACAGCTTTTTCAGTTTTTTGGTGACAGTCGTCCATACTTTAACTAGAGGGCTTTATACACATCTCGTAGAATCATACACTGAGGCAAACAAACCCTAAGAATTCCATATAAGACATGACTTATGAAGCTGGACAAATTTGATTCCATAAGACACATAGACTTATGAATGATTATCGTACTACAAAAGGTAGGTAGTACAAGTATGGTTCTTAAACGCTTTTAACCTGTTCAATTTCCCAAGCGTTAACAGAAGTGCGAGAGCAAATCACGGAGTCAATAATCTGAACGCTCAGGGTTCGATTGCGGTCTCCTAGATTGTATATTACTGTTTTTAAGCTTCATAAGCTAACTCATGATTTCCAAAAGAAATCTTTTTGTCGAAAATTCATAAGTGGTTCTTATGGAATTCTTACGTTCCTTTGCCTCAGTGTACACAAAATTACTTTGTAATTTTAGTAAGAACTCACTTGGAATTCTCTTAGGACCTTGCAACCCTCTTCAGAATTCTGTTGACAATTTACATTGAATCCTACTCATGATCCTCTTGAGATTTTACTCAAGACTACCTTAGAATTATCCTTGCGTATCACTTGGAGTCTGGAATTAAGCAGGACTAACTACTTACTTTTTTGAAGCCTCATGAGCTTGGAATAGTTAAGGGAATTACGTACAAGTTAAAAAAAATCCATACGTAGAACTTCGCGGAAAATCAACGAGAAACGTAGAAGTGCAGCAAACTTTGTAAAAGTTTTGGGAATTTCGAAGCATTTTGAGAAGCTGTATAAAACATTATATACGTGAAAGGAATTTTGTACTTACATTACCAATCATTGTACTTACATTACCAATCAGGCTAAGGCCTTGTTGTCCTCTGCTTTCCGAAGAAGTCGTCTCCACTCTACTCGATCCATGGCCACACGTCGCCAGCCTTGTAGTCTGCGAAGGGTCAGCAGGTCGCCTTCTACTTGGTCGATCCACCTTGCCCACTGCGCGCCTCTTCTTCTTGTTCCTGTTGGGTCGCTTTCGAAAACCATTTGAACTGGTTCGTTGTCCGGCATTCTTACGACGTTGTTAACCCACCATAGTCGCTCATTTTTTGCAATTTGGACGATGGATGGTTTTCCCAGCAGCTGGTGTAATTCGTAGTTCATTCGCCTTCTCCACGTTCCGTCATCCATTTGCACTCCATTGTTGGCAAGTCCGTTCGACAACACCAAGCGCGTGTTGGTCCTCCACGAGCATAGTCCAGGTCTCGTGGTCGTAGAGGACTACCGGTCCAATCAGCGTCTTGTAGATAGTGAACTTCGGACCGCAGTGTCCTCCGGAGTCCAAAGTAGGCACGATTCCCTGCCATAATGCGTTTTTGAATTTCTCTGCTGGTATCATTTTCGGCGGTCACCAGTGAGCCAAAATATACGAACTCGTCGACCACCTCGATTTCGTCACCGTCAATCTGAACTCGGGGTGGGAGGCTAACATTGTCTTCCCAAGAACCTCTTTCTGTTATGTATGTCGTCTTCGATTCGTTGATGGCAAGTCCAATCCGCCTAGCTTCAGCCTTCAGTCTGATGTGCGTTTCCACCATCGTCTCAAAGTTCCGTGCCATGATGTCGATGTCAACGGCGAAGCCAAGAAGCTGGATGGACTTCCTGAAGATCGTGCCACTCGTGTCTCTCCCAGCTCTTCTTTTCACACCTTCTAACGTGATGTTGAATAGCAGACATGAAAGTCCAGCACCTTACCGTAACCCCCTTCGAGATTCAAAGGGACTCGAGAGTGTCCCCGATACTCGATCAACGCACATCACTCGATCCATCATCGCCTTGACCAATCGCGTCAGTTTATCCGAAAATCCGTACTGGTGCATAATCTGCCATAGCGGATCTCGATCGATTGTGTCGTATGCGGATTTGAAATCGATGAACAAATGATATGTGGGCACGTTGTATTCGCGGCATTTCTGCAGAACCTGCCGAATCGCGAAAATTTGGTCCGTGGTTGCGCGGGTAACCATGAATCCCGCATGGTATTGCTCCATGAACTCTCTTGCACATGGTGACAGGCGGCGGCATAGAATTTGGGAGAGTACCTTGTGATCGCGCGGTAATTGCAGCAATCCAACTTGTAGCCGTTTTTGTAGATTAGACACACGACACCTTCCATCCACTCCTCCGGTAATAGCTCCTACCCAGTGCTTCACCACCGTGCTCACTTGGTAGTTAAACTACACTAGTTGCTTTGTTGTTCTGCAGCCGACCGATCTCCTCCTCAACTTCGTGAGAAGGTTACTTGTCCAAGCTTGCGGCACGTAGCCTTTGCGCGAACTATTTAGCTTCTCGTAGAATTTCCGTGTGTCGTTTACGTGGTACAGATTTTCCATCGCCTCGCGATCTCGGTCTTCCTGCTGACGCTTCTTCCTTCGAAAACCGAGTTTTGTCTGTTCCGCGCTTGTCTGTATCGCTGTCACATTCAATCTCGTGCGGTGCTGCAGCATTCTCGTCCGTGCTGCACTCTTCTCCTCTACTAACAGTTTACATTCACCGTCAAATCAGTCATTTCTTTGATCCGGGATCGCAGTACCTAGTGTCGCTGCAGCAGTACTACCTATGGCAAAACGGATGTTCCTCCAGCCATCTTCAAGAGTAGCTGCGCCAAGGTGCTCTTCCGTGGGTAGTGCAACTTCCAGCTGCTGCGCGTAATCCTGGGCAACTCCGGCGTCCCGTAATTGCTCAATGTTGGGTCGCATCGATTTGGTTTTCTGTGTGCTGGTCAGGTGATCTCGAGATGGCTTGGTGCATATCCTTGCGGGGGAAAAAGGTACTTCGGACTAACATACCCCGAGAGGCTGCAAAGTGCACGCATTGTTGGCCGTTGTCGTTCGATACGGCATGCAGGCTGTTTGACCCGATCGCCGAGCTGTATTTAGCCTCCCGTCCTACTTGAGCGTTCATGTCACCGATGACGATTTTGACGTCCCGTTGCGAAATGCAGTCGTACACCTGCTCCAGCTGCGCATAGAACGCTTCTTTCCCGTCGTCGGGTCTCCCTTCGTGTGGACAGTGCACGTTGATGATGCTGTAGTTGAAGAAACGGCCCTTAATCCTCAACTTGCACATCCTCGCGTTGATCGGCTACCAAGCAATCTCGCGTTAGCGCATCTTACCCAGCACTACAAAGCCGTTGATGGTGCAACAGCTCTGGTAGAAAGTAGTAGTTTTCCATACATTTTGTCCCGTCCAGCAAAGTTCCTGAAGTGCTACGACTTCGAAGTTGCGTGATTGAAGTTCGCCATAGATTAACCTATCACAACCCGGGAAGCCGAGCGATTTGCAGTTTCATGTTCTGAGTTTCCAATCGTAGTCCTAATTTCGTCGAGTAGGTCTGCGTCGATTGTTCCGATCCGTATTTCTTTCTTCGGAATTTGCAACTTTTTTCCAGGGCGGCTTGTTGGGCCTGCCGGGGGATCATCGTGCACAGCTCTGTTTAGAGTCCCACGTTGGCACTAGGACGGTGATCAGCCGCTCCCAACATGGAGAACAGACGCCTTTTTGAGCCGCTTCAGTTTATGGGAACTTCGTTGCAGTTTGTCACAGATCTTACTTCAAAAAAAGTTCAATGATCTTCTTGGATGTTTTGGGAATTTCATTAAATTTCAAGGAACTTTCAAGATGTTCAAGAATATTTGTAGGTGATAGGGATCTTTCCATATTTTAACTTTACTTTTAAATTTGCAAATTATAAATTAAAAATTCTAGAATTTAGTGTTGGTACTTATGTCTGAGATTTGATTGATATTTAAATATAGTAGATCATCTACTCAATCTACTTAATAAATTCATGGAGTTATCTAACCCTGAGAATTACCTAACATGGCAATTTTCTTAAGTTTGAGATCCTTAAAACCCTTATGAGATCCGGACAATATGTAATTACAGTACAAAAAGCATGAACAAATCTTGATAGAGCTGGAATTAGGGCGTAACAGCTTTGTAAACAATGACTTCTCTCGATGATTTCTAGAAACTCAAGGCACGCCTACGCAAACCAACATAACCAACGGGAAGAGGAAGACTTCCTCTACCCGATAGTAACGTTGATTTGAGTGAGCGAGCCTTAGCTTCCTAGAAAGCATCGAGAGAAGTCATTGTTTACAATAGCTGTTACGCCCTAATTCCAACTCTATCCAGAAATGATCATTGCCTGTTCAAGATTAGTATGCTTATAAGGCTCCCCGAAGCATTGATATGAAGTAAATACAATAAAATTTAATGTTTCACCATTAAAATAGGTAGTATTATTGGACGAAGTGAAAATGCATCCAACAGGATAATAAAATAACAAATAGCATTGACGCGTTTTCATTGAATGGCAGTTCCGGAGCTTCTATTTAACCGTAGTTTAACAACACAAAAAAAGGTACGCCTACCCCTAGGCCCTCTCCAGTAACATTTTCTAGCTACGCCAATGACAACCAGACGCAGAACCGATAACCACAGGATCACAGACCTTTAGGTGGTTGAAGTAGAAAACTCTAAATGCACACTTAAAAAATGTAAATTTAGGTGCTCTGAGACTAACATATACGAGCGTCAATTTTGACATAAAATTGAGTCATAATAGACGCAAAATTCAGCTCAATCAAACGTACTTTAGAACTTTTCAGTCTCGGAGCACTTAATTTTCCATGACATGTTTGTTTACGTATCATCCTTTATGTCAAAGATGGATTCCATCACGAGTAAGATTAGGTATTTGTAAGTGTATGGTGTGAAAAATGTTGCGCTATGACGATAATGTTGCACGACATGAAAAATGAAGTACGACATGGAAAACTAGCTGCAATAGATTTTTAGGCTTAGAATAGACTTGAAAACCACAATAAAACCGTAAACGTTGCCTTGATGCAAAAAAAAACCATATATTTAAAAAATCTCTAAAAATGTGTGTAGTCTATTGTGATCGATTAAGACCGCGAAATTGATCAAACCAGGACCACAGTCAAACCACGTTTCAAAGTTAACCAGCGTGACTCCAAGTGTGAATGCGTGCTAGGCAGAAGGAAACTAAAGTACCAAGCGTCTCCATTGAACTGCCAGCATCGTTGCGCCTGACCCACAGTGGAAAATTCTCTCATCAAACATTGCGAGCGGAAACTCTCTCAAATTTAGTGTTTCTTCATACAGTGTGTAATATTCCATTTCAACAAAATCAGTCAAGTAGGAAAAGCCGGTTGATTCGCATGGCAAGAAGTTTAGTCTGCGTCCACACTTGAATTTAACGATTCAACGCAATAGCTAGATAATAGAATTTTGTTGTCTATATTTTGTCGCAACGTCGGGTTGAAGTTTGTGTTACAACTAGATATAAATAAGCAAATCAAACTATTGCAGCATTTTTCCCGCACACAATTCACAAACCACCGGTGAGTATCTGATGACATATAGCTACATATGCCTTTTTTAAATTTCTATTGGGAGATTTGTGCATTTTGATCGTGTCCCACATCGAATCGGTTGGACACGATCCTATTTATGCTATTGGCCGCTAACTACGCATTCTTTCCGACTCGCTGTCGACCACCTAATGATTAATGAGTTTTTTTTTGTCTATGAAATTTTGTGAAGAGGAAGTTGAAGAACTGAATTATTGACTGTGGGCATGCGGCGTGTAAGTGGCGTCTGAATCGGGAGGTGCACGCTACGGAGTGGATTTAGTGGAAAATAATTGGCCGATTCAAGTGGCGAAGAACATTCAAAAGTAGGATCGCCGGGATGGGAAATCTGCTTGCTCGTAGTGTTGTGTAAACAATCGAGTGCGAAGTGGAATCAATAGAATACCTTTTTCGAACGAATGTTGCCGTAGCAAAATAGCAGCATGGTCCAGGAACCTTCAATGCATTGGTTAATTTGGAGCATGAATGAATCTGAATGGGTGGTAAACCAGCCGATGTTAATTATTGGTTTGAAGTAAGATACACTTCAGGTACGTGCTGCTAATAGCGAAGTGTAGTTTTTGTTTATAACTCTGTTTAAAATGCAAAGTAAGGTAATGTGATACGCATAACCACCGTCATTCAAGCAAGGGTGGAAAATCCCGCAATTCTTCTAATAAAGCTTATATTCCGAAATGTCTGAAATCTTTGATACAACACTCACGGTCGTCAACAATTGTCGTAGCGATTCTTTTAATTCTGTCTCCATAATTCCGTTGGAACATCCATCAGAATTCCCTTGGTATGCCCATTAGAATCTAGAAACCTCAGACGACGCTTCAGAATGACTTGGAATTCTCTTTAATATTCCCTTAAGCTCCCTGTGTTTTCCAGGATTTCCCAGGAATTTAATATATATGATATGCGATTTTGGGCAAAACAATAGATAAAGTGCAACAAACGAGTTTAAATAACTTAAGTGCCATAAACAGTTGTAGAGGCACAGCTTTATAATCAAAAAACTATTTTAAGTTGAACATTTGTTTAATAATCTACTTTAAAGTACAACGGCGCCGGTGGTGTAGTGGTAAGCGTGATTACCTCTCACCCCAGCAGGCCTGGGTTCAATCCCAGTCGGCGCCACCGGGATGTTCTGAGGCATAACATCTCTGATCACGCCTTCCTTCGGATGGGAAGTAAAGCCGTTGGTCCCCGGTTCATGAGTTGATGGGTCGATAGGTAGGGTCCAGGTGTGGGAGCTGCCTTCTTGGCACGTCGGTAGCATTGGTGCTCAGCACGGAAAACAAGATCGACGGAAAAAACATACCAAAGGAAAAAAAATACTTCAAAGTATAGTCTTATCAAAATCAGGAAATTATTTCATTTATGTGAAGGATAGTATAGAACGTTCCAGATTCTAGACTGAAAACTATAATAATTAGATAACTATATTTATTAAAAATACATGCATATATAAAATTTGCAAATGTTAGTTTGAATTTATAGTAATAAATAAGAATTGCTGCTGTTTTCAGGGGTTATGTTTTTTTCAGGAACATTTCATGTTAATAACAAACAACTAACTAAGAGTGTAGTGGGCCATATCTTGAATGAAGTTGTAATATTTCAAACGAAGAGAAATCTTGTTCCAGGAGTAAATAATTTGTTTTACTAGGGTCAATCTATCACTTTATTACTAACTCAAGTAGCACAAATCCGTCACAAATAGTTGCAGCAACTTGATTGGGACTAAACTAAGATTGAGTGTTCACTCGGCTGTCGACAGAAGCAGACCACTCTCAATGTGTGTCACGCGATCGGCTGTTCACTCGGCAGCAACCATGTGTGGTCCTCCTCATTGTTCTTCAGTCGATACGTCGTCGATTTTGGAAAGCAACCGTTTCGTGATGAATTTGTGAATGCTGACCACGTTTTGCGTCCATTGCTGCAATGGAAGCGCTCTAACCACCGTTGGCGAATCTGCCATACAATTAAACCACTAGAAGCGGCTCCCGTTCTGGTGAAGGAGGCCTATTGGATAGCGGAAGATAAAATGTTTATCGTGTTGTACCTTTTGACTATAGTTTTAAGATGTATTGTATAGTTATCAAGAATCATCGGCTCTGTAAAGTTAATTAAATTAATAAACAAAAAATAAATAAACTAGGTTACATATTAGTAACCTTAACCGATTTTTAACAAGTGTGCTATTAAAGGAAGTCTAAGATAACAAAATTTGCAATATCTTAAGGTTTTAAAATTTCACCTAGGTTCAAAATCTTAAAAAAAATCAAAGTTCCAGAAATCTCAAAAAGGAAAGTCTCACACATTTGATTTACTTAAGATCACAATCTTAAAAACATTTCATATTCTGGCATTTCGAATATTTCTGTTAGTTTTGAATCTTGAAAGCTTCTCATGGTGCAGAATTTCGGAAATTCATCCGTGCCCGGTCTGAGGAATCAAATTTTATAAGCCTTCAATATGAAAAAAAAAACTCTGCTAATCTTGAATATTTTTCTTTTTTTTTCAAAATTCAGAATCAAGAGAAATTTTCTAAGCATGAGATAACAAATAAAATATTTTGAAGCCTCCGAATTTTGATGTTTTTTGAATCCTACATCCTAATTTTTCTTCTGTGATCTTGAAAAAAGTTCTATATTTGAATCATGTGTATACCCTTGGTATACCTGGGGCCTCATAGCCTAGTCAGTAAAGGCACGGTATTACCAAGCCCGGAGGCGGCGGGTTCGATTCCCGGTCCGGTCGAGGGAATCTTTCGGGTTGGAAATTTTCTCGACTTCCCTGGGCATAGAGTATACTTGTGCTTGCCACACAATATACAAATTCATGCATTGGTAATTGGCATCGAAAGCTCTCAATTAATAACTGAGGAAGTGCATTTAGAACACTAAGTTGAGAGCACGCAATAAGCTAATATGCACTAAGCAAATAAGCTTGAAATGCGAATAAGAAGAAGAAGTATACCCTTGGTACTCATCAAAGGATTTATTAAGAATATTCTCAAAATTTTCCTTTGAATCATCTCAAAATTTCCTCAGAATTTATCTTAGAACTCTTTCTGGAATTTCCTTAGAATTTGTTCCATAATACCAACAATCAGAACGAATACGATTTTAAATTGGATCATTATTTGACTAGCCCATTTATGCCAAGTAAATCTTTAAGCGTACAAATTTTCGTACCAGAATCTGTGTTTGTTTTGATTTGCCTTTTAAATTTGATAGAGTTTAATGAGGGGTTCGTGGTTTTTCCTACATTCCGAGGAGTGCTTCAATTAGGTTAGCGCCGTAGGTCTGGTACTTTCTGAGTCAAAAGATTGACCATGTTTCTTCGGAACCCCCTGGTCTTAGTGTTAGTCTATGATGCTACTCTAGAAATTATTTATAGAAGGCTCTTTGATTCACTTTGTAATTCTCCTTATTCGGTTAGCTGTATTGCCTAAGAATTTCCTAAATAAATCTCCTGAAATAAACTCTCCTCACTCAAGCAACATTACAAGTTTTATTGAGGCTTAAGGCATACAAGTCTCAATGATAGTACAGAACTCTCATAAAACACAAATCGTTACTTGGGCAGTATTCACTCAGTATTCTCCTGAAATTTCCATGAGATTATCTCCGCAATCCCCTCTAAATTCTAAAGTTCTTTTGAAGTAGTCCCGTAAATTTCTTGAAATGCTCCTCATAATTCCCTAGGAAGTCACCTTTGACTTCTCTAATAAATATTACAAGGAATATCCTTCAAACTCTCCTAAGTATTGATGATGGCCCCACCTTGTACCCCTACAAAACTTTGAGCTGAACGAACGATTTATATTTATGATAATTAAGTATGACATCTTAACCAGATTAAAGGGTGATACGGTCAAAATTTGGTCAAGGGAAAACGCGTGTAAATCGGTGAAATCGTTTATTTAAAAAATCAAATTAAATTTCTTTTTCAAGTTCAATTAGTATAAAATTCAGGAAAAATATTCAGTTAGGCTTCCGCTTTTCCAAATCCGAATTGCCGGGCCTTACGCTTGACCCCTGCCATCAGATTTTGTACAGCCACCTTGTCCACCTTCTTCGCCGCAGAAAGCCAGTTTGCCTTGAACTGCTGCTCGCCCTTAGCAGTTTTTTTGGTCTTCTTTAGGTTCCGCTTGACAATAGCCCAGTATTTCTCAATTGGGCGGAGCTCTGGCGTGTTGGGAGGGTTCTTGTCCTTGGGAACCACCTGCACGTTGTTGGCGGCGTACCACTCCATGGCCTTTTTACCGTAATGGCAAGATGCCAAATCCGGCCAAAACAGTACGGAACAACCGTGTTTCTTCAGGAAAGGCAGCAGACGTTTATTCAAACACTCTTTCACGTAAATTTCTTGGTTGACAGTCCCGGAAGCTATGAAAATGCTGCTTTTCAAGCCACAGGTACAGATGGCTTGCCAAACCAGATATTTCTTTGCGAACTTTGACAGTTTCATGTGCTTGAAAACATCTGCTACCTTTCCCCTTCCTTTTGCCGTATAAAACTCCTGTCCCGGAAGCTGCTTGTAGTCGGCTTTGACGTAGGTTTCGTCGTCCATTACCACGCAGTCAAACTTCGTCAGCATCGTCGTGTACAGCCTCCGGGATCGCGCTTTGGCCGTCGTATTTTGTTTATCATCGCGATTTGGAGTCACTACCTTCTTGTAAGTCGATAGTCCGGCTCGTTTTTTGGCTCGATGCACGGTTGTAGACGATACACCCAGCTTATTTGCGGCATCTCGGAGAGAGAGGTTAGGGTTTCGCTTGAAACTACCGGCAACTCTCTTTGTCGTCTCAGCGGCTTCCGGTTTTCGATTTCCCCCCGATCCAGACTTCCTGGCTGTCGACAAACGTTCCCCAAACACTTTAATTACATTTGTAACGGTTGATTTGGCAACTTTTAGCGATTTTGCCAACTTTGCGTGCGAGTAGCTCGGATTTTCGCGATGCGCGAGCAAAATTTTGATACGCTGCTCTTCTTGCTTGGACGGCATTTTGACAACTGAAGAGTGAATTCCAAAATCAAAATAGGAGCAACATTCTACACACACACACCTTCAAAATGATGGGTGTTCAGGTTTTTTAAATGCAAAATTGAAAGAAATACGTCAAGTTGATATTGACCAAATTTTGACCGTATCACCCTTTAGCAAACAAAAAGAAATGATTAGTTACAGATATAAATTCCCTCAACAGTTGCTCAGTTGCTTCACAGCGACATAAATGTTAAAAAGCTTATGAGTCCACATGAGAATATTTGTCAACCTCAAATATTCCCAAGCATTCCCAGCGATCAAGAGTTTTTGAATAATCAACTAAGCATCCTATTACAATAGCAACCCCGCAATCTTATGCTATCGTAATTTTTACGAACCCCCGACATTCGAACAGAAAATTTTAATTCAAAGCATCTTCCAAATAAGCTTCGAAGCTCAATTTTTATTATCAAATGTAAAATTCAGTCATCTATAATCGTAATATGCGCGCGAGGCTCAAACCTTTTTAGATTACTCACAATTACTTTTTTTAATTTAACTACTAATATTAAATCAAATATTAAACATCCTTCATCACCAGTGCTACAATAATTATTAAAAAGTCGTTATGACAGCTATCCATACAAAATAATCCGTTAGAGATAACTTCAAGATACATAATTTGTCGATTCAAGAAAAAACACTGTATAGCTGTTCAAAAAACAGGTTCAATGAGTGAAATGCAGTGTCCCTTAAATTATGTATAAGTATTATAAGTATTCCTTTGACATTTACCTTGAAACTTTTTTTTTCCTCTGTTCGGGACCTAACACCACTGCGACCAGTAATTTGATCTATTGTAGTATATCCCGTGTCCTTAGTTTAGTGCATGTCGTATTACTCCATCACTATTGAGAAATGATGAAGCATTCGATTTTTTACAGTTGTCATTCTCGTATTTATCGCAAGGATCCGACTCTAATTGAAAGGTCCCACTATTTATACCCTTCGGAGTGTTGAAACACCCTCCAAGGCGCGCCCCATTGTCAGTCAAAATTGGATTCCTAAGCAATAAAATTAAGGAATGACGCCGATAATGACCATGCATCAGAACCCTAGTCTTAACCACTTCAAACTAGAGAATAATGAATAGAAGATTAGGAATCACATAGATGAAGACTAACTAGCTCATTTTTTTCTTGTTTCAAGATCATCCTCGGTCCAGGCAACCCGAGGACTTATCACAATCAACAAGGCATAAAAAGTAACAAGGACTAAGATGTGTTCCTTGGATTACTGAAAAATCCTGTTCCCTTAGTTTGAAGAAGTCAGGACTAGGAATCGGTGGTAGATATTACATGCCGTAACATACCACCAAAAGGTGATCTACCACCAAAAGGTGATCTACCACCAAAAGGTGATCTACGTTATGGGGCACCTTGAAACTTAGGAAATATCCATGATACTTTCGAATCCTTCATAGATTTTTTTTTTAATTTTCATTGGATTCTTTTTGATTCTCCATCTTCTCTCGGAATTCTACTCACAATTTCTGCTCACAACTTGTACTCACAACTTCTACTTACAAATCCCTTAGAATCCTCCTCAAAATTACTTTACAATTTCAGTCAAAACTCTCTTGAAAATCTCCTTGGAATTCACCTCGCCTTCCTTCGGAAGGGAAATAAAGGCGTTGGTTCCCGGTCCATGGGTCGATAGGTAGGGTCCATGTGTGGGAACAGCCTATCTGACATCGGTAGCATTCGTACTCAGTAGGGAAAACAAGAGCGACGGAAAACAAATCAAAGAAAAAAAAAGATCATTCACTTCGAACCTCGATGGGATCAAACGCATATTCCACTGCTGAAGACTTTCAGCACGAAACCAGAAATGGTGTTTGTTCGCCAAACATCAATCAAAGACGTGTTTATGTTTATCCAATAACCGCGTGAAAACCTTTTTGGGGGTTTCGCTTTTGCAGAAACTTATAAACAAATCACGTGCCAATCTAACCCATTCCCATTAATTTAGCGCCGCAGCAGAGTGACGCATTCCTACTGGAATGCATTCTATGGACAAATTGGTCATAAATTTGAGAGTAAAATAATTGCAAATTTGTTTATGGTTGGATTGAATTGCAAATTTGACTAACTTTGAATATTTTGCATAGTTACATGATTTCTTAATTTCATGAATGGATTAATATTTTGAATAAAATTAGCAACAAACCTATGTCCATGTCCCAACCAATCCGTTTTTAATGAATCTAGTGTGCCAACTATACCAACCACCACAGCAGAGCAAGCTGGCCCCTCTCCAAGTGCCAAGCCACCGGTTTTGGTTCAACATCACCATGGCAGCGGAGATTGCAAATTGCCGTGAATGAGTTTTCCAGACGCGCGTGGTAAATTGCTTGTTTACTCGCAATCAGCATTTTTCCGCTTTTCACCATTAGGGCCAAAGTCAGACCAGAGCAAGAGCCAGGCAGGCGACGTGTGCATGTACTCATTCTCGAATTTGCTCATTTAGCTTGGTGAGGACTGATGGCCGTGAAGTTTTGTGAGGGTTGTTACTTCTTTCTTCGAAGTGTGTCGGTTAGCGTGGTACGTGCAATGTTTTTCGCACCCCATCTACATCCCCCTCCCCCCTTAGACTGTCTCCGTCGGTTGATGGCATGTTAGGCCGGTAATCCACCATTTATTTGGACAGATCATTTCCAAGAGCACGCGAAGAATTTTACGGAATGATGTCTCTTGCTTCCGTTTCTCGCTGTGTCCTCCAATGTTCTTCTTGGTGAGGCAACTTGCACGATGACCAAAATATGCGAACAGGTGCCGTCGATCGTCGCACGGCCTAGTGTCGTGATGGATCCGTGAGAAGGGGCATTACTATTTTACGACCGTGTTAAGCATCTTTGAATGTCTCAACTAGTGGCACAAAATGAGAATTTGGCAGTTTTTCTTAAAGAAGATGGCACTTTGTATTTTCAGCTAACTCTTTCTTGTCCAGTATTGAAGAGATCACCGAGAGACGGAAGATGGCAATATGTAGATGTAAATTTAAAAAAACTTGTATGGGAAAAATGATTGATGTAAATTAACCAAGAATTTTAGCGAATTGAAAGGACAATGACTAAGTCTGCTATCGACACTAGTTGTGCAGATTCTGATTTCATACTGTTGATGGAACAATCATAATTAATTATAGTGATTGAGCGTTTTTCCGTTTGTGGTTTGGCGTTCCTGAAACAAAACAAAAACAAAAACAAACAAAAATTTATATAGAAAATGTTTAAAATATGAGGCATGCTCGTATCACCTCGATTTGACTTAAGCAATATTTTTTAAAGAAAAACTTTTATTTTTTATGGAAAACAGAAAACATCTTGTTAAGGTAGAAGCCAATGACAAACGATGTAACTGTTGATCAGTCAGAAGAAAACCGAATTTATGTTTAGCGTTTTGTTCGTTTGTTCTCAACCTGGTTCACATAGTAATTCCCATATAAACTTCAAAGAACCAGTTCAGTATGCGATAGCAACCAATTGAGCTTATATTTTGGGATAACGATCAGGACCTGATTTAGAATCGATTGAGCTGGGTGGAGCAAAATCCATATTTTTAACCACCCTAATGGAGACGCATAGTAATTTGTGTGCAGACCAAAGTTGACTCATCTTCTCCTCCGGCTGAAGGTCGCAGTTTACCTCACTGTCTATCAACCGAAATGTAAGAAATAAATGAGCGAACGGAAAACGATCTGTTAATGTCTTTCAAACCCTTGATGGTCTCAAGTGGTTTACCACTTTTGGCAACAAGTGCTTTTTTTCCGCTCCCAAATGGAGCACCATCAATCCCCCGTGAAAGTGATTGATGTGCTCGCGAGCCGCGAAAAAAAAAAATGCGGACCGTTGTCCAAGTCGAGAAATGCGTAGTTTTGGCGTGTTGGAAGCTGCTATCGGTTTTCAAAATTAACAATATGTTTACGTTTTATTTTTCTTCCAACCAGCGAAATGACCTTCGAGAGGAGCGACACGTTCTACGATCTGGACCGAATCAATTCGACGATCGAGCGGATGTTGGTACTGATTCGGCAGTTGTCCGGAGTATGTCGGCTGGGGGAAAGCGGTCGATCGATGTCGGTGGAGCTGCAGCTGCTGAATGCAATCGACGATCGAAGCTATCAGCTACAGGAACTGCAAGATGCCGTTCAGTATTTGTTTAGTCAGTTTAGGAAAATCTACCTAGTCAATAAGGATTTGTACGTGCAGCTGAACAAGCGAGGGGGAAGGGTTTTCGAGTTGGAGAAGCAGTTGCGAGAACAGGGCGAGAGCAAGTGTTTGTACTACATGGCGGACGTGATCAAGTATGAACCTGCTCTGTTGGCTATGCAGCGGGTGTTGGACAGAACCATGCGGGAGATTCGAATATTTCGGAAACAAAGGAACAAACACAAGCTGGAGCTGATCGTCAGTCACGTAAGGAATGACAATCTTGACAAGGCTTTTGATGAATTCTTGTCGCTCGAGGACAATATTGAACAACTACCGCAAATAGTGGAGGACGTATTTGAAGGATCTATGCCAAATTTGATAAAGCTGTTACTATTTCTGAGAGGATACTTTTCGTTGCAAAAACCAAATTCGGAAGAAACATTCGTCGCTGGATGTGAGCATATCGTTCAATATCTGAAAGGTACGGTTATGTTCTCACGGGTAGAAACCCTGATGATCTACAGTGCAATGAACGAATTGCTCAGTGAACGGCATCGCTTGGAGGATTTCTTCCGAGATCGATTGGAGCTGCTGTTGGTTGACTTGTCTGGCAATAAAGAACTAGCTGTACAACTGATCCAGAGCGATCCTGAAGAGGCAGGTCACTTTGCCAAGTTTTTCAATTGCATGTCCGACGAACTTCTTTTGGAACTGGTTCGTGAAGCTTATCAAGGATCTACACGGAATTTAAGGTACACATTGAAATTCATTTCCAATCTTCCTTGTATCAACCAACAAATCATCAGCTATCAAGAGGTTCATAATGAAATGCGTCGACTAGGGCTATCGAAATCATCGTCGATCTTTGTTCTCGCCTATCACATCAAAAGAACAATGCTGCATCCGAAATTCCCCCAGGCCAGTCGGTGCTCGGAATTAGACGATCTGAAAGCCATACTACCCCCGAACGTAGCGGGCATCATTTGGAAGCAAGTCAGCATTTCAAGGTACGAGTCCCGAATTCTGATGAAGTGTGGAGCGGTGGGAAAGGAAGTTGGTTTCTCGCGGTATACGGCGGATAAGAACCGATTCGAGTGCGAACCCGTCGACGAAGGGGAAGCGTTCCGGATCCGTGCGGTTACAGTTCATGGATACCTGGTGGAGGTAGATGGACGACCGGAAGTCGCATCTTCCAAGTATGACGTGACCTGCCCGACTGCTCACTGGAGATTGATACCTCACGAGGATTGCAATTATTTCCGGATAGAAAACGTCGCCAGCGGCAGGTGTTTGTATTCAAAGTTTTCCGAGAGTGTCGCGTATGATTTCTACAACAGTCCGGAAGTTTTGCGGTTGACAACAGACGAGTCGCTTTTGAGTGAGGGAAACTCCTTCTGGAAGGTAGGGGAATTTACGCGAGGACCGCGAGGTGATGCAGATTGTGTGATTCTTTAGAAGCCGGGAGTGGTAGATTAGGTGATAAAAATGTGATATTTCAATAAACCTTATGTGACGTAATTGTTTGTTTTGCTGTTGTCTGCATGATGACACACTTTTTCCTGGCTGTGTTGTGAATTAGGAATAAACAAAGTCATAAAACATCAGTGCAGTATCCCCTCGATAATCCGACACTCGTTAATCCAGCATCCGTTTAATTCAACTCTCGATATTTCGACGATGCCGAATTTAAAAGTACTTAAACGTTGTTTATGAAGGATCGGCAGTTTGAAAATTGACACATATAAAGTTGATATTCAAACAAACACATTTCACTGCAAAACAGCTTATAAAGATTAGTGACGTTTACCGCACGCACATTAGCGGGTGCATCGCCGTGTAAAGTTGTTTATTATTTTCCTCTGACTAACCTAAAAATGTATGAAATTAGATCTGTCGAAATGAGTTTGACAGCTATTTACTATGTATTTTCCTCGAACTTTCAGTAACACGCTCTCACATATTGTATCAATACAACCGGACGTGAAAATCACAATACAGGCTAAAATTAGCTGCATAATCCAATGTATAAGCTGTTCTGCAGCTAAAATTGAAAGTCGTTATATTGACAGTATCGAGAGTCAAAGAGGTTTTCCTTATCAATTTAGTTGTCTATGTTTTCATTTCGTAGAAATTGGGAGCGGTGGATTGAAAAGGTTGCGCCGATAGTCCGACCACGATTTTGTCGGATTATCGAGGGGTACCTGTACTGGTCTCAAGCAGCTTTCAGGGGACATTGGACAGGGAGAGGGGAGTCTCTTCATCCCTTCGTCCATTACCAGTGCAGCTCCCCTCCCCTATTGACACATGCTTGGAAATTCAAGATTACATAAATGAAACGCAAAACATATTTACATATATGTAGGTATATCTATACACATGAGTCACTTGGTTTGACCAGGAAATTGGAACTCCGTTCATAGTGACTATGTGACTACTACTAGGTTTCAAAAAAGAAGCTCTAGGCTTGTGTGGAAATATTATAAGTTGAGTTTTGGAAGCGTTGGGAGAAATCTTCCATTTTTGTAAATAAGAAGAGAAAATATCTAAACTTTTCTGAAGTCTGCTGCAAATAACACGAAGACTTCTTCCTTTAGCGGAAATGCCTGTGTCATCAGCGAACAAAGATTTGTGGCAACCCTGAGACAAATCAGGGAGGTCCGAAGTGAAAATGTTATACAATATAGGCCCAAGAATGCTACCCTGAGGAACTCCTGCTCTAACAGGTAGTCGATTAGATTTGGAATTTTGATAATTTACCTGCAGAGTTCTGTCAGTTAAATAATTTTGAACTAATTTCATGATATAAAGTGGAAAATTAAACTTTTTCAATTTAGCAATCAAACCTTCATGCCAAACACTGTCGAATGCTTTTTCTATGTCTAGAAGAGCAACTCCAGTTGAGTGGCCTTCCGATTTGTTTGAACGAATTAAATTGGTAACTCTTAAGAGTTGATGAGTAGTTGAATGCCCATGGTGAAATCCAAACTGCTCATCTGCAAAAATTGAGTTCGTATTGATGTGAAGCATCATTCTATTCAAAATTATCTTTTCAAAAAGTTTACTTTTTGAAGAAAGCAAACTTATTGGGCGGTAGCTAGAAGCTTCAGCTGGATTTTTATCCGGCTTCAAAATTGGAACAACTTTTGCATTTTTCCATTTATCAGGAAAGTATGCCAAATGGAAACATCTGTTAAATAATTTTACCAAGAAAGACAAGGTACTCTCTGGGAGTTTTTTGATGAGGATATAGAAAATTCCATCATCACCTGGAGCTTTCATATTTTGTAACTTTTTAGTTATAGACCTTACTTCGTCCAAATCAGTCCCCCAGGAATCATCAAAAATATTTTCCCGAGAGAAAATATTCAGAAAATCCCGAGCAACCTGATTCTCAATAGGACTAGTAAGACCCAAACTAAAATTATGGGAACTCTCGAATTGCTTAGCAAGTTTCTGAGCTTTTTCCAAATTTGTGATCAAAATTTTACCACCTTCTTTAAGCGCTGGAATTGGCTTTTGAGGTTTTTTCAAAATTTTTGTGAGTTTCCAAAAGGGTTTGGAACTCGGGTCTAATTTAGAAACATTATTTTCAAAAGTTTTGTTCCTCAGGGCCGAGAATCGCTTTTTAATTTGTTTTTGCAAATCCCGCCAGATAACCTTCATGGCAGGATCGCGTGTTCTTTGATATTGTCTCCTACGGACATTTTTAAGACGGATCAAGAGCTGAAGATCGTCGTCTATTATAATTGAATCGAATTTAACCTCGCATTTTGGTACTGAGGCAGCTCTTGCTGCAACTATAGAAGTAGTCAGAGATTCAAGAGCATAATCAATTTCATCTTTGGTTTGCAAAGGAATGTTTGGATCGAAGTTATATTCCATAAATGTTCGATACTGCTCCCAATCAGCTCTATGGTAATTGAAAGTAGAGCTGTTGGGATTACACATTATTTCTTGGGATATTTCAAAAGTTACTGGAAGGTGATCAGAACCGAAGTCAGCATGGGTAACCAGTTGGCTACAAAGTTGACATGAATCAGTTAAGACCAAATCAATAGTGGAGGGATTTCTTGTAGAAGAAAAGCATGTTGGGCTGTTTGGATATTAAATAGTGTAATAACCTGCAGAACAATCATCAAACAGAATATTACCATTGGAATTGCTTTGAGCATTATTCCATGAGCGGTGTTTTGCATTAAAATCACCAATAATGAAGAATTGAGACCTATGACGGGTAAGTTTCTGGAGGTCACCCTTGAGAAAATTCTTTTTCTGGCCTACGCATTGGAATGGCAAATAGGCAGCTATAAACGTAAGTTGTCCAAATTTTGTTTCAACAGAAACTCCCAAAGTTTCAAAAACTTTGGTTTCAAATGAAGAAAGAATTTTATGTTTGATTCGTCTATGAATAATGATGGCAACGCCACCACAGGGTCCATCAAGACGATCATTTCTATAAATCAAGTAATTTGCGTCCTTCTTAACCTTATGGTCAGGTTTAAGGAACGTTTCAGTTATAACGGCAATATGCACGTTATGAACTCTCAAAAAGTTAAAAAGCTCGTCTTCATTATCTTTAAGAGATCGAGCATTCCAATTAACAATATTTAATGCTTTAAAATCCATTACTGAATTTTAAAGTCATGACAATATTATTTGCAAATTTTACTCCAGTTTGAATAGCATCAAACATGGAGTTAGATTTAAGCATATCAGAAATCATGTCAATTAATGATTTCTGTAAGAATTCCATTTTAGAGGCAGTAATGCTTCCTAATTCAAAATTGTCAAAATTTCCGTTAGAATTACTTTGGTTAGTATTTTGATTTCTACCCGCTGCAATAGCAGCACAGGTAGCTCCATTAACTCGCTGAACATTGTTAGCAGCGAGGGGAGTAGGTACAGATGAAAAATTTGAAGCAGGGGTGATATTTGTACCTACGGGTACGAATGTAGAATTTGTTCCTCGCTGACCGTTGTTAACAGCAGAGGAATTTGTACCTGGTCGGAAACGTGGAGCGTTTCTTACCTGTCGGTTAGAACGAGATTGTAGGATTGCTTTGCGAGTCTTACATTCCCAAAAATTGGATTTGTGGTTTTCACCACAATTTGAACATTTAAATTTCTTAGGATCTTCCTTCACAGGACAGTCGTCCTTTGCGTGAGAGGAATCACCACAATTCATGCATTTAGCTGGCATGTAGCAATTTTTAGTTCCGTGACCCCATCCCTGGCACTTACGGCGCTGAGTGAGGTTTTGGAAATTTCCTCCAGTCTTCCTGAAGTGTTCCCACTTCACTCGGACATGGAGCATAAGGCTAGCTTTTTCTAAGGCCTTAAGGTTGTTTAGTTCACTAGACTTGAAGTGAACTAAATAAAAATCATTAGAAATCCCGTTGCGCGAATCGCCAGGACGGGATTTCATTTTCATTTTGATTACTTGGAGTGGCACAACTCCAAGTAATTTTGCCAGTTCATCTTTGATCTGATCCAGGGATTCACCACTGGGCAGTCCTTTCATGACAACCTTGAACACACGTTCAGTTTTGGTGTCGTAAGTAAAAATTTGTGCTTCTTCTCAGTAAGATACTTGAGAAGACATTTAAATTCGTCCAAGGTTTCAGCCAATACACGGCATTCACCCCGACGTCCAATTTGTAGAGAAAACTTAACTTTCACGAAGTTCAAAAGTTCCATGCGAAGAGCATGGAAATCGGAAGTGGTTATCACAATAGGGGGAATCTTTTCCTTCTTGGCATTAAGCCGGGAAAGTTTACTAGAATTTTTCTTGGATGATGGATCATTCTCATCATCCGTGAGCAAATCAAATTGATTACTCAAATTAATTTCATCAGAAGGGGGGTCAAGAGTTTGCCCCTTTCTTTTGCGTTTAGGCGCCATGGCGGCAGTAAATTTTTATCCATATCGACTTCCAAGCAGATTACTATAAGAATCTGAAGGATCGAAGAGGAATTTTCCAAATCGATATCCAAGAAGGATTACCTCGGGTAGGGTCCAAACAAGGATCGAAGATGAATAAGTGTTGAACAAGGTAGAAAATTTTTACAGGTTGAGCACTGAAAAGTGCTGTTTAAATTTGTTGTAGCTAGTAGTAACACTTCCTTCAGCAAAAAGCAAATAGATCCGCACGGCAAGAGAGCACGATGCGGACTGTGCACAAATCAGTAATTGGTTTGTTCCTATGCGTTAGTTCATTAGCTTCAACATAAATCCTGTTAGAGCGCATTACATGAATATTTACGCTCATTGTTCTCAAAACAAAAGAAGCGTTCCTAGCGAATCCTCTTTTTCTACGTTTATCCGTAGGACGAAGAAAATCTAATGGCGTTTCAATGCGTTAGGATGGAATTGAAACTCGTAGAACGAATTTAGAATCAAGAAGCAGTATTAGATTTTAAACAATATCTCAACAATTTGTGACTCTTTTTCAAATCTTACGGTACGTATGGAAAGGTGAATAAATTTAGAAGTCATCTTTGGCAGAAATATTCCGTTTT